ATGTGTTGCTCAGTAAGAAACTGTTACTGTGTGCAATTAGAGACATCTAAGGGATAAAAGACAAGTCATTTGTTTAACAGTACCCTTTTCAAAGTTTACTTATGTTTAATTTGTGATGCATATTTTAGCAGAAGATAGTTAAGAATTTTTTAGGGAAGTGTTTTAAGAAAGGTATTTAAGAGCAAAAAGTGAAACAAAGTTTTAGAGTTTGTGCTACTGTTTAAGTTTCTGTACTGGTTTTAAAATTCCTTTTGCACCACGGGATTTTTGTTCTGAAGTTTGTGTCAAAAGACTCACAGAAGTAAGAAAAAATTATTTGGAGTAACAAAGACATGCTACCAACACAAAATGAGCAGTTTTTTTTGTTTTTTTAGACTAGTGCTTGTGTGCTTTGATTAAACAGTCTTTTGTTTCAGAGCAAAAATACCAGTCCAGCATCATTCTCACAACAGCTTTCTTGCCCCATGAAGATTTGCTCATTGTTTTGTCATGTATTAATGGAGAGAACATCAAGGTGGTAGAGTAAGTGAGCAGTGTAAAATTGTTGTGATATGATGAAAAGATTTCAAGTACTTGGAAGAGGGAAGAACTCAGCTGGAGGAATTAATTCCCAAGTGAGAAAACTGACCTGCAAAAGACTGGGTAATTTTTTTGCTTACATCCAGTACTCTTTCTGGTGTTGAGCTACTCACAATGCTGAGATTAAAGTCTTGTGACTGGAAAAAACTTTGCTCAAAAAAAGACTCTTAGGGCCTCACAAAATGTTTAAAATCCTTAAGTTTAGCTTAGGTGATCTCTCTCAGTAGTCTGCAGGAAATAAGGAGTTAATTTTTTTTGTGTCCATCTCCAGACACATTGAACTTACTAAAAAACCCCATAGACCCTCTGAAGCTTAAGCTGCTGTAATTTGTTTCCTTTACAAGTTTGTTTTCTTGCATTCAGTAGAAATGGAACTTAAGCTTCCAGGTATCTTTGTGAATCTATCTATTCAGGGTGTTTGAAGGGTAAGAATAAGTAAAGGTTATGAATTGAAACTAACAAATAGTGTAAATAATTGACACAAGACATTTCACTGCCTGCTTCAAATCCATGTGTCTTCTGGGTCTCAGCTGAAGGAGGCCCAGTTGGATTCAGTAGGCTAAGTCCAAAGGCAGGGTAATGTAAATCACACTCATTTAAGAAAAAGCCAGTTGATGAGGCTCTGGATTTTAGTTATCTGCTGGGCACTTAAATGATCATGTGTTCTATGGGTGAAGTTAAGAGCATTATTCAGTGGAAGGCATTAATCCTCAAGAGAGAGACTTCTAAGAAATTTGTAATCACATCTTGTTTTGAGAAAGTAAGCAACAACAACAAGAAACAGCTTATCAAAATATGCATACTCTGTTTGAGCAGAGTGTGCTCTGTTTATATGTCAGTTTTGCATGTGGAGGCAGTGCTGTCTGAAATGAAAATTTTGTAAAGCTCTACCCTTGCTTTTGTGGAGGAGAGTCAAGCCATACAAAAGCCTGAGAAGTTCTTTGAAGCCACTTTACATGTCTGTGACCATTATGTATCTTGTTAGCATAGTTAAAGACTTCCTCCTGAATTTGGAAGCAGTGGGTTGAGTTATGTCCTTTTTTACTTAGACTTTACAGAAACAGTGACTCAGTGAATCTGTAAATGTGGCTACCAAGAGACAGTGAAAATGAAATTTTTCTTCCTTTTGCAGTATAGAGTTTGACTTTCATACAATATAAAGAGAAGACAGTTACTTCACACTTTATTTTGGTGTGAAGTATGATCATGCAGTGGAGGAGGAGAAAGATTAGTGAAATACTAGTAAATGTGCTTTTAGAGATAACTTTTTTGAAGTGTCACCTGCCAAAAAACACATACCCTTTTGTATTTCCAGGCAAAGAGGCAATCAGACCATTTTCTGGGAATATTAATTTGAAAAGTGGTCTGTAGAATTGAGCTAGTTGTTGAGACTAGAAAAGGTGGGAAATGCCATGTCCCTTCACTATGTGAAATGGCTTTTAAGTGGTAGTCACGCCTTAAAATCATAAGTTGTTATTCCTTAAGTAAAGGCTGTTCGCTTCTTGAATGATGTTAAGGTACTAGAAAATGTATTATGTACTCCATGCAATATTCTGATCTTGAGTGTGATATTTTAAGGCAGACTAAAGACAGCAACATCCATTTATTTAACAGAGAGGCAATTTCATCACCTTTTAATCTCTATAGTATATAGTAAGGCACTAAGAATGCTTGAAATCCAAATACTGTCTGTGTTTTTATGTTCATGGTCTGTATGTGTCAATTTTTAATATTTGATTTCTGTAAGTGTATTACCTTGACAGAAAATTGGTAAGTAATGGGTAGGAATGTAAAGTCCTTTTTTTCCTAGTTTAGCAGGGGTGTTTGGGTTTTACGGAACTGAATAATAATACAGAACTTAAATGAACTGGAAATTGCAGGTGCATTTTTTGCCTCTGATATCACAGGGTCACTGTAGTCTTGTATTTTATAAAGTTGCAAAGAAACATGTATAAGCTTCATAGAGACTTACTTTGTTATGCCTAACACAACGAGTTAGGTTTGACTAAAACAATTTTGGCAAGAACAGAAACCTTTTATGAACTGTTGTTCATATAATTTTAAACACTTAAAAAAAAAAAAAAAAGTTGTTTGACTGTGTGGAAACTGTTCTAACCTTTAAAAATTAAGTTTTCTTGTAACCTTTGGGCTCCTTAAGCCTTCTTTTCCTTTTACTTTTCCTGAGTACCTACTGCGTATTGACTGTATAGTTGGATACTATGAAACTTTCTGAAATACTGAGGTATTTTTGAAGGGACAAAAAAAGGTTATGAATTAAGCATCCAGGTGGCTGTTTGTACCACCTAGTTGAGCATGGTGCCCCTGTGCCAAGTTCCTTCTTTTCAGTGTTTCCTTCCACAAAATTCTGCTCTAACCAGGGCATTTTCCCTTTTTAAGTGCTGTACAAGTTTGTGTGGCAGAAGTGTGTGTGTTCTGGTTGCAAATGGGATCTTTACCTTTATTTTCTTAGCTAGTCAGGTACTCATTCTCTTTGGGGAAGGACTTGTTCTGTCTGCTATCAGGAGGGGGAATAAATAGGTGGCTATAATTTCTTCTCTCCCTTCTGGCTGCTGTCGACAATTATGACAGATGGTGTTGGAGATATGCATGCAGAACTTCATTATGTATAGAATCTCTTTACAACATCCTTGAGCTTAGGCTGTCAGAATTTGTTAGATGTATCATACTGCAGTCATCATGTCCAAATTTTGCTAGATACCACTTCAGTGTTTTTACACTAAGCAGCCACAAAGACATACAAGAGAGCTTGGTTCTGCATAGAGATGTTGAGATCTAGTAAGTTTGCTATCAAATTTTTATTAGTAGTAGACCCTCATGTTTCCAGATGGCACAAGCATTCAAACACAGCAGACATAATTCCTTGCACTATAAATAGGATGTGGGGGACTGTAAAACATGAAACATTTGTAAGAGTGCAGCCACTGTTGAGAAGTCCTAGCTTTTTTATTTAGTGCACCACTTATCCTTAACAGCTTTTTCCTTATGGTTTTTATTGTTCTGTACTTAGTAAAATAGGTGTCTACCTCACGCCTCCATTTCAGCTGTGCTCTGCAAGTTAGGGAGGACATTCTGCCACTTCTCCTGTTGACCTCACTCTGAAAGAGTTGAGACGACCCTTGTTCCTGAGTGCTCATTTTCTGGGAGACATGTTTGTTTTTTTCCTCCCAAGAAGATGTTCTGCTGTACTGGTTGTGCAGTTAACGTGTCTTGTCGTATTATCTGTCTGTTCAATTATTGAGGATACTTAAGGGTTATGCCAATCTTCACCTAATACTTGGACTTCTAGGCTTGTAGCACAGCCTGAATCTGATAATTTTGTTCTTTGATTTGATAACAAGCTTGAGGTCATCCCTTCAAAGAAGGGCTTTCTTGGTAATGCTAGTATTTGCAATAAAGTGAAATCCAGACACTGTTTTCAAATTATTTTCTTCTTTAGAGTTCCTTTAGTTTCTACTCCAGTTTTTCAGGAAATTTGACAACCATATGCCAGTGTGAAACCATTGGGTTACCCATTAGTATTCTTCCCTTATCCTTTTACTTGAGATTTGGGGCATCTTTGCCTGTTATGTGAGGGTAGTTCTGTCCTTTACCTCACACAGAACTAACTGTCCTACTACTTCAATGGCTATCACAAAAGCTTTTGGAGAGAAAACTATTTTGTATGATAGTTTTTTAGTGATGTATTTGGAAGGTTTTGGGAAGCTTCCTCCGGTTGAGTGCTCTGAGAAGGAGGCTGCCAATGGCTGGATTTGAGATTTTGTTTCAGTGCAAATTCCCTTCACTTTGTCCTTGCTTTTTTCATTAAGTTCTTGGAGCTTTGAGACTGAGAAATGCACCTTGCACTCTTAGCTCCTCATGAGAATACTGGAAAACACAAAGTAAATTAATCATGTATACTATGCAAGAATAAAAAAATAAAAATCCCCAAACTTTCAGGGCTTATTGCTTGTAATATTTGTGTTGAGAATTCATCCTGAGGAATTCCATTTAATGAAAAATAACTCTTGTTTTGGTAAATAATATAAAATCCTATGCTTTATTTGGGAACATTTTTATTAGCAGTATGCAGGTCTCAGAGTTCTATGCAAACAGCTACTGGCAGATTGTTACACAAAACATATCTCCAATTAAACACAAACACACACACAAAAAGAAAACAATTAAAATTAAACCATTTGGCTTTTCCAAATTGGAAACTTTTCAACATTGTTGACTTGCGGAAAAAAAAAGTTAGTTTTAACTTTATTAGTCATGATTTTGCAATTTTACACACAATGAATATTCAGGATTTTGGTAAGTTGTTAAATGTTTGAAAATAGGTATTGTGAAAGGTGCTTATGTCAGTTTGAAGACCTTGATGTACTTTACATGCTGTTTAACATTGGTTTACGTTTATTTAGGTTCCTCTAAAGAAGGAGGAGCTGGAGCTGTGGATGAGGATGATTTTATTAAGGCATTTACAGATGTTCCTACTGTACAGGTAAGATGCTGTGTATACTCATGTAGGTTTCCAGAAATAGGCTATTTGCAATATTATGTTGGGCTACTTTTAAAACTTGTGTAATTTTACAATATTTTAAGCAAGTGTCATTACTTTTCCATCTTTCTGCACTTACAAGTCTCCATGGAAAGCTCTGCTTTTTTCCAGTTATTTACTTGAAAAGTGACCTTTTCTTTACTGTCCTACTGATTATTATCACATCATGTTTCAGCTAAAATTTGTTATTTCTTTTCCTGATTTATCCCAGGGAGCTATTGAAAATAATTACAAGTTTTAATTTTTATTAAAAAAAGATTTCCGTAATGTTTGGAAAACAAGTCATAATCAAGTAATAATAGTAATAACACAGGCAAATAATTTTAAAAGTAAGAATGGTATTTTCAAATGTGCCTGAATTGTAATGATGTTTGTCTGGCATATGTGTTCTCATCTCTAGCACTACTTCAAAAAAAGTAATCTAGTGCCTTATTAGAATATTAATGAACCTGTTGGATTCTGAATTCTTACTTGAAAGATCAGATTTTAATTTCTGTTATTTCAGTGTGGGAATTGCCTCTATTTGGTATTTTCACACAGCTGAGTCATTTAACATGCTTGAATCTTTTCCTAGACCTATTTTGAATAAGTTTTCCTTGAGCATCTGAGGTGTGGAAGGCAACCAGAAACTCAGTAAGCTGTAATTCCCAAATACTAGAGGGATTTAGTATGACTCCCTTTTCTTGATACATACTTTTGTTCTATTTTTATTTCCCCAAATGATAGCATAATTATTTGTAGGCAGAAATACTGTCTGCTTTTAGGGAGGAGCACTCTATCTCCATGATCCCTGTCATAGTCAGGAAATCTTAGTCTTACACTGTAAGAGCTTAATGTTTCTTTGCCTCTCCAAGCTGTGTAAAGAATTCTTTGGAGGGCAAAAACAGGGAGCTCTTAATGTTACTTATCTCCATTATGTTGAATAGAGCCATATTCCACAGAACAGAAAATGTGCTGTTAGTAGGTCAGTGCCTGGTATTTGCAGTCCCAAGCAGAGTTCTCTAATCTCTCAACTTGGTTAATAACATGTCAAGAACAGAAGTGGGGTAACTGTGTGTCATTGACCAGCGAATGCAATTTTCTGTCTGACTGCTGGATGACCTGGGAAGGTAGGTCATGCCTAAGCTGCTAGAGGTGGAGGAGAAAGACACGCTTATCTTGACTGATGTCACCTGAGTTGAGGTGAGGAGGCAGGGAATAAATGTGCAACTGACCCCAAAATAACATCTTTGTTTTATGGATAAAAATGTAAGTCACATCTGTTGACCAGGGGGTAAAAAGCAAACAAGAACACCCAAACCTTCAAGAGTAATGAATTCTTGATGTCCAAATTCATGTTTCTAGTTGTGGATGTTTTCTGATCTTTCAAAAAAAAGGCAGATCGCATGTTCTCAGACCGTGTTAAATAACAAGGAAAAGAGAAGTTTCTGTACTAGACCCTGAGAAGAAGGAATGTTTATGACCTGTAATTTGCCAAGTAACTCTATAAGCAAGGAAACTTGTTAGAATGGGGAGAGTGAGTTGTTTGTACATTATTGGACCCATTCCTCTGTCCTGTTTTCATCACATTTCTGGATTTCAGTAGGGACTTCATTGAAAGTAAGAAAGGGAACTGTATTACAGAAAACCAGGTCCATTTCTGAATCAAGTTTAAGTGTATCTAGATTAATCAAGTAAATGAAGGTTTCTTATGGTGTATGTAGGTTTAAGTCATTCTTAAAAGCCATCAGTGGTAGGCCTTTCCAGGAACCTGTTCCAATAATTGGTCATCATTAATTTTTTAGGAATACTGTGTTTTGTACTCCTATCTAGTTTGTAAACCCCGTATTGGAAATACATTCAATCTGTATAGTTCTTACTACTCTTACTTGTGTTTCAGCTTACAATATTTCTGTCTTTGATGTTTCACTTACGTTTAATGATGCGTGTGTGTTGCCCTCTAATGGATACTGGCAGCTTATGAAGATGAGTGATTTTGAGATATTGTTATGGATTTATGTGCCAGAAAGAGAAGTACTGTGGTGAGAGGATTGTATTTATTTACCTTTGCTTAAATTGAAGAAAATTCTATGTTTAGGTTCTTAGTAGTGATTGCCATTAATAGCTAAAATTTGTTTCAAAACAAATTTAGTTGGTTTTATATAAGTCTGATGTGGGAACTTTTGGACCAAAAAAAATCTGTTTGTCATTAACACAAAATTTCATCTTGGCCTTCTAAAAGCAGAATTAATCAAAGGCATGGAGAAAAGAAATTATTAAAATATTACATTTCATTCCTCTGATACTAATGTAGGCATGGACAACCTTGACAATTAAGAATTTTTCAGTGGAACTGCAGTTTTAATTTAATGTAAAGATAAAATTCTGCTATTTATTACATTATGCATTACAATGCCAATTTGAATAACAGAAGTTGCATAGATTCAGTTCAGTTTATGCCAGATAATGAAAGAAAAAATAAAATTCTTTGCCTAGGCGTGCAGGTAAGGTGGACATAAACCCATTGTGCATGTTGCTTCTGTGTCTGTTGCCGTGACAGTAGCATGTTTTAATCCTGTGGCAGTAACTACAGCACATGGTCTTTGATAGCACACAGGCTGACAACAAAAAATGTCCTATTTTTAAGGATTTACTCAATGAGGCAGCTTACAAAATGTATTTGTACCTTGACCCAGAGCCTTGGACTAAGTTTCGAGTGTGCACTAGACAGTTTTCAGCTGCCACCCAAAGGCAAGGTCTAGCTTCCTGTGTTATTGCACTTCGCTTCTTTGTAGTAAGTTGGCATAGGCTGCCGAGGTGGCAGATGAATTTTTGCCTTTCCTCTTGTAGGGTTAGCTTTCTGTATGCTAGAGCTCTGAGCTGGGATGGGGACAGGGCAAGGTGGGTGATGGTAAAGGGGGAGCCTGAGGAGGCTGAATCATGTCATGAGTTCTGGTGGCATTAGGGTCACCATAATGTGAAACTGTATCTTCTAGTTAACCAGTGACTAATCTCTTTCACTTTTAAAAGGAAAATAAGAATTGATAATGGAAATTTAATGATGACCAATTGATTAAAATGCTTACAGAAACACACATAATACTGATTTTTTTTATAGTATGGTACCTATAGAATAGAGTAAATGAGTGTTGTGTTACAAGTATTGTAAGCTACCAGTATACACAAGTATATTAAATGGTGATACTTGTGTTTGATTTTGTGAGCAGTACAGTAGAAAGTGTGTTATGCTTGAACCCAGTGTTTTCTTTAAGTAATTTACTCCTTTAAAATGAGTTCTGTATCAGATGTTTATTGACTTTTAATGAAGAAGAAAACAGTAATCACGAGCAAGTAGCTTTTTGGTTTTTATGGATGCAGTTGTGTCCTCTGACTAGAACTGCAAAGCAGCTTCCACAGTGTACTCTGGGAAAGCTTACACAGCTCTGTGGTAATAAAAATGTTAGTTTTGTTGGTAAAGCATATGCAGAAATTGTTTTATGCATTATAGCGAAGCTGACCTGTCTTGGGTGTACTAACTCATATTTTTCTGAAGTGATTCCTTCCCTGTTTATCCTACAAATGGGATATGCATGTGTTTCAGAGCATGAATGTCTTCTACCTCCTCAATATTTCAGCATGAAATGTAGAGGCCTCCATAACCATGTTCTATTGAAGCACTGGATCAAAAATGGTTGTCAATACAGTAAAGGTTCCATATCTACTCCAAGTTAATTTCATTTTATATTCAGGAAATGGGAGTACTAGACTCTTTACCTGGGATATTAACAATATACTTTTTGTTTAATACTTCAGATCTACTCTAGTCGAGAACTTGAAGAAACGTTGAACAAAATCAGGGAAATCCTCTCAGATGACAAACATGACTGGGATCAAAGAACTAATGCGGTAAACTTTTTATCTGGTTTCAGGTTTGAGTGGGTGTATCTGTAAAGCACAGACAGCTGGTTAATTTAAAATGTTTTTTTCTTAAAGTAATTACACTCCATATAATTGGAAGAAATTTGAATTTTTAAAACTTTAATTTTTATATGCCAAGTAAGTTTCAGCAAGTGTTTTTAAAAGGCTGCACTACTTTTTGCTGATGTTTAAGTGAGAGGTTTTCTAAAAGCCATCGTGTATGTTTCAGTTGCATTTACACAAAATGATGTATTCTGCTACCATTAGTGAGTCTTATATGTGGCTTTGCTAAGTTTCACTTGCAGGATTAAAATGTTTGTGTGTATGTAGCATTTATATTTTCTATCAGGTTTATGGCATCTTAACATTTGGAAACGGTTACGTGAACAGAATTATGTATCTGTATATTTGTAGACTAGGATCTGAGACGTTTTAACTCTAGAATTTAAGTAGTGTTTTAAAGTCTTTTAAAGTGTATTTAATTACTGCCATATATTTCAAAGTAATGCTTTGCTTTCCAGATGCACATTTTTGCAATGAAGTTAGTGCTTTTTTATTTTTAAATGCATATTGGTTTTGTTCTAAATGAAATGCCTTAAATTTTTTAGCTGAAGAAAGTTCGATCATTGCTTGTTGCTGGAGCTGCACAGTATGATGGATTTTTCCAGCATTTACGGTTGTTGGATGGTGCTTTCAAGCTGTCAGCCAAGGATCTCAGATCCCAGGTGGTTAGAGAAGCCTGCATTACTGTAGCGTAAGTATCCTCCCTGTGCATTGGTGCATGTTGCTAGGTTTTAGTATGAGTTAGACTTAAAAGATGCTTTGCCAGTGTTGCAGGAAGAATTAGCTTGATGGAGTTCAGTATATTATGACTGATAAAGAGTCAAGTCAGTATCCAAAGCCATAGAGAAAAAGAAATAGAGAAATTCAAAGGAATTTGTTCTTTTAGGCAATATATGTAATTTATAATACTGTAACAGTTTCTAAATGAAGAACAAGTTGCCATCATTACGCTTGGTACTTAGTCAAGTTACAAACTGCTGGAAGTACTGCTGTAGTTCTGGGGGCTAGTCTTAGGAGCACTTATGCTTGGGTGATTGGCACAAAATTTTACTGTTATTACTTGTAATTAGAAAGTGAGCTGCCCTACAGTGATTTGAGCCCTCCTGCTTGACTGCTGAAGTATCAGAGATGCAGTTAAAAAATATAAAACCAAAGTGAAAGCTTCGGTAAAATGTTTTGATGAGGTAATATTTTTCATGTCCATGATGATTTTAGAAGCTTTAGCTAAGAAGAAATAAGATCTCCATCCTCATCAACTTAGCGACTGCCATTAGATTCAAGAGGGAGAAAAAACCCCTTATTTTTACACCAGAGCAGTTGTTCTTACATCATGTTTTCTATAGATTATTTTTCTTCCTCTGGAAAATCGTTAATGTAACTACTGATTTTTGGTGGCCGTGTGGAACAGATAAACCCCAGAGTTCACCCTTCCTGTTCTGGTCTGCAGTTTAAACAGCATAAAACTGTCCTTGCCGGGAAAATTCAGCTTGGAGAAAATAACACTAACCTCTTACCATGAAGTTAGGTGTGGTGTAAAAGTACTGTGTACATGTCCTCATCCAAAGGGAAAAATCTTGAATGATAAATCTGAAATCTTAGGGAAGTTACGTACTGTCGAAATGTGTTAAAAAGCAGAAATACTATTATGTTTTATGTGGATACAGGCATTTTAAACTTTCAAATTGTGGTACTGCTTTTTAATTATGAAATAAAGTTACTACTGTTCAGCTTGTTAATATGTCTGCCAAGTAACAAAAATGTTCTGCAAATTTTGCATTTCTACTGAGGTAAGGACTTGAGAAGAATGAAATTTAAAATTTCTGTTGCTTGGAAATGGAAGTCTTCAAAGTGTACAATGCACTTAGTTGTTTTAAAACTAATAAATAAATTTATGTTAACAAGTTTTATTTCTTCTTTCTGAATAGCCATCTTTCAACTGTTTTGGGAAACAAGTTTGATCATGGAGCTGAAGCTATTGTGCCTACTCTTTTTAATCTGGTTCCAAACAGCGCCAAAGTGATGGCAACTTCTGGATGCGCAGCCATTAGATTCATTATTCGGGTAGGTGTTCCTCTCACTTGGCTTACAAGGAATGTTCAGGTAGTGGCTCTTAGCAGAGATAATAAAGATTCTTAAGTAATGGCTTATAAATTATTATTCCGTGGAGAAGTAGACTTTCTCACAGTTGGACAAATGTTATTTATCATTGGAAAGAATTGGCAGCATTACCATCATAAAGATGAAAGAATAGGTATGAAGATCAAGTCTGTTTTCATGATGTGCTTGTAATGTGTTAATTTCTAAAAGGCAAGTGTATTTCAGAGTTTACCTCTGTTTAGCTTCCTTTTTGGAGAAGACAAAGTTAAGCTAGTAGTTAAGAAGCTACTAAGAATCTTTATAAGAAAACAACAACCAAGCCTCAAACTATTTTTATTTTTTTAATAGTAAAAAAATTGGAACTGTGGAGCTAATGACAAAATGTTGAAGAGGCTAAACATACATGGATAAGTTCAGAAAGCACGAGTTCATGGGAGAGAAGCCCAATAGAGATTTTAATCATCAGGTTTAAGGACTTTCTAAGCTGAGTCCATAAAGCTATAGCATACAGAAGAGGGAAATGCTGTATACTATCTATTTTTGTGTGTGTGTTCATTAACCAACGGACTGCTGTCTGAGGCAAAATATTTAGATAGATTTTTGGGACTTGTGCTGATATTTTTGTGCTTCAGATAGAAGTGGGAGGTTGTCTGTAATTTCTGAGTGAAAAGCTGTGATGTTCTTAATGCCATGCACTTACTACTATTCACTTACTGAATTTTGTAAGTTGTTGCAGATCTAAGTGGTTTAATCACACCTTTTCTGCCATCCTCAGTATGCTTTGGAATCTGCACTTATTTTTGTTACCATGCCTCTGAGAATGTGCTGTAAGACTTCTGCATTACTTTTGTGTCAGCACTTAGGCTAAGAACTGTTGGTGTTTTTACCCCACAGTCTTTAAAACATGCCATGAGAGAGCTATAGTACAGAGTTGAGAGTGGAAGAGGGAATATACCTTACACAGGATGATTAAAGTTTTAAGAGAAGAATACCATTTGCTGCAGTAGTATTAGGCAAGCTTAGGCATGTAAGAAGCTAACCTTGTCTTGTTTTTTATAAAAGCCAAATAAAGCACCAGAAAAGCAGCATGAAATAAAAATGGGGCGGTTACATTAAATTGGCTTTATTGGTCCAGTTTATTTGGAGACAAGCCTACACATTGGCTATAGTTGCCCTCATTTTGTTTAAACTTCTGTTATTCTTAGCTGTATTTTAATGTACTAGCTTGGAGGCATAGAAGCAAGAAAATCCTATCCACAGTGTTCAAATACCCAGCCAATAAATGGCTTATGCAAGGTGTTCTGACAAAATCACGTTTTAGTGGTAAAAGAAAGAAAGAAGAGTGTCAAACCAAATACAGTCCCACTCTCCTTTGGAATTCTATCATTGGATTAAATGACAGATGTTCAGGGAGTATGTGATCAATTGAATATTTAGAGCCCAAACCATGACAATTTTTGGAGTCAGCATTTTGTTGAAAAATTGCTACTAGAATCTACTGACAGCCAGTTCAGATCCCAGTGCTTTAGTATGTAGTTGCTGTGAGGGTGAGTTTACATAAAATGTGGGAGACTATTATTTCAGTGATCTTGAAGAGCTCCATCTTATCTTTGTACCTTTATTGGATTTTTTATTTCTTCTTCAGATAGTTTGTACATTGTTGTCTGGTTTCTCTTTCTTGACTCTTGGTAAATAAGGAAATGAATGTAAAAAAAGGGGTGGGGGGCTGACAGTCATGATGAGATGGCATGATGGTAGAATATCTTTTCTAGAGGGAGGTGGGATTCAGGTTGGACAGTTGAGCTGCAGGGTGTGTTGGGAGGAAGCATGTATCTTTACAGCTTCAAAGTGGGTAAAGGATGAAATGTGCAGTCTTAAAGCTGAATGAAAGCAAGCCTGAGGCTTTGATTCCTTTGTGAAACACTTTGTAGGAATTACAATGTCAATTGCTCCAAAGACTTGGAACATACAGGTTTCTCCATCTGTAAAAATGTTTTATTCTTTCTCCTTATACTGCTTACTGTTCCCTTTCTGGCAGTCATGTACCACTTTTCAGTTTGAAAGCTGCAAAACACAAAAAAAACCACCCCTAAAATCCTGTTTCAAAGTGTATCAGTACAAAGAAATAAAACTGTAAGGTTCTTCCAGATTTTTTTAGTGAATTCCCTTTTAATTCTAAAGTTGGCAGTTCTCTGAGAACTGATAATGATCTCTCTGCTTTTTTGGTGATTTGTGTGTTTATATTCTGGAACAATAAGCTAAGGAGAAAGCTATGACACATGAGAGTAAGAATTGTTCAGTACTGAACTTTTCAAGCAGTTTTTTTATAGGCTGCAGTTTCACTCTGTATTTGGGGCTGTTTTAGATGTTACGTGTTTAATCAAGAAAGGAATAAAGAAATTAACTGAAAATGGATTTGAACCATGTTACTCAGAATTAAAATAATATTTTAATACTTTGTGTCCACAATTAGTTAAGCTGAAGTAAGGCTACTGTAAATCTGAATTAAAATATTGCATTTGGATTTAGTGTAGTTTATTTTATACATTTTGGGTGGGTTGAGCCTAGCTGGACACCAGGTGCCCACCAGATCCACTGCTCCCCTCAACTGGACAGGGGAGAGAAAATATGACTAAAACCTCGTGGATCAAGATAAAAACAGGGAAAGATCACTCACCAGTTACTGTCATGGGCAAAGCAGACTCAACTTGGGGAAAATCAATTTATTACCAATCAAATCAGAGTAGGATAATGAGAAAGAAAGAAAAAAAATAATATTAAAACACCTTTCTCCCTCTCCCCCTTCCTCCTGGGCTCAACTTCACTCCCAGTTTCTCTGCCTCCTCCCCTCTAGCAGCACAGGGGGATGGGAAATGAGGGTTGCAGTCAGTTCATCACATGTTGTTTCTGCTGCTCCTTCCTCCTCAGAGGAAGGACTCCTCACACTCTTCCCCTGCTCCAGCGTGGGGTCCCACCCACAGGAGACAGTTCTCCACTAATTTCTCCAATGTGAGTCTTTCCAGTGGCCTGCAGTTCTTCACAAACTGGTCCAGCCTGTGTCCTTTAGTGGGGTGCAGTCTCTTCAGGAACTCAGACTGCTTCAACATGGGTCCCCCATGGAGTCACAAGTCCTGCCAGCAAACCTGCTCCAGCAAAGACTTGTCTGTCCATGGGTCCACAAGTCCTGCCAGGAGCCAGCTCCAGCACAGGTTTCCCACTGGATCACAGCCTCCTTTGCATGTCCACCTGGTCTGGTGTGGGATCCTCCCCAGGCTGCAGGTGGATATCTGCTCTACTGTGAACCTCCACGGGCTGCAGGGGGACAGCCTTTCTCACCGTGGTCTTCAGCACAGGCTGCAGAGGAAACTCTTCTCCAGTGCCTGGAGCACCTCCTCCCCCTCCTTATTTACAGACCTTGGAGTCTACAGAGTTGTTTCTCTCATGTATTCTCACTCCTCTCTCCCTCTGCAGTTGCTGTTGTGTAGTAGCTTTTCCCCTTTAAATGTGTCATCCCTGAGGCACTACCACCATCAGTGAGCTCGGCCTTGGCCAGCAGCAGATCCTTCTTGGAGCCTGCTGGCATTGGCTGTATTGGACACAGGAAGCTTCAAGCAGCATCTCACGGAAGCCACCCCTGTAGCCCCCCTGCTACCAGAACCTTGACATGAAAACCAAATACATCAGTTTAAATGGTAGTTCAAGGGTTGTCTTTTGCCATGAAGATGTTAGGTGTTACCATATAGATTATATACATATGCTTGCTTGTATTACTTGTCATGCTTTTACTATTTTATTGATGTATTTCGTATTCAAAGGAATTTGGCCTTTGTAGTGCTAATTGTATTGATTGATCCGTAGAAGAGTGCTCATAGTTTCAGACTGATTGATTTGCTTTTTTCTCTATAAATCTGATTTTTAAGACTGCTATGTCTATTGCTTTTTTTCTGTGGCAAAACTAAAATCACATCAGCTTACAACTCCTTTGAGGATACACTGACATTTGAGCCTTCATGTATCACTTTGACAGCTGCATATGGCATTTCATTGTGTGATTGTTGGTGGCATTGGAAATGTTTTTTGCTTGATGTTTTGGAAAAAAAGCAGGTTTAATCAATTGATGTACTAGCAGCAGCCTCTTAATAGTATTCTATATTTAGTTCCAATAAGCATTTTAAATTAATGCAGTTTATTATGTCGCTAATTCTGTTTGTCTTAATTATTACAGTACTAATTTGATAGTGTTTTTGTCTTCAACTGTTTTGTTTTCTTTCTTTTTCTTCAGCATACCCATGTGCCACGACTCATACCTTTAATAACAAGCAACTGTACCTCAAAATCAGTTGCAGTTAGAAGGTGAGTACATTAGAAGTAGCGAATTATTAAAACTATTGCTTTTATAAATGTGATGATCATATGCTGGAAATAGATTTGAAGGTTTATGGCCATTTACACTGAACACACAAAACTCTTTTCCAGTAAACTACAAAAATTAATTTCAGCAAAGGTACATCAGATGATGTTGAGGAATGGTACTTTCTGCCATATTGGAAGATGTTAATTGTATCCTGTTTATTCTAATTTAAAACATTCCTAACACTTTTTGAAAAAGTACCTTCTGATTTAAAACCAGAAAGAAAGAAAAAAAAATTGCAGCTGTAGTAGAATCTGTGTTGCTCAGTCTAATGAGAATAAACAACATGGGTATTGAGAGGCATTGGGAGAGCATGAAAGAGATTTGCAAAGAACCTGCCTGAGCCTATTAATTACTGTTAGGGCCAGACTTGACAGGTCCAGTGAGTTTAGCTCTTGTGGAAACAGTACAGCCTACTGCGTGCAGTCTGTGCCAGCACTTTGCTCTCCTGCTGCCTCAAGGAGGACTTTGTAACTTTTGTGCAATGTGGTTTGAATGTATGGAGGTAAACTGTCTGATACTGTGCCCAAAATAAGAGACCTACCATGCTGTGGCATCGAGATGCTGGCTGCTACCTTAGGTAGGACATGCTGGATCAGTGTGTTGTCATGTTTAACAGCTGATGTGCATCTTCAGCATGTTGTTCTTTCTAATAAGTGAATGCTTGGGTTGGCTTTTGACAAGATTAGTAGGTTTCTGACAGAGAGTCATTTTCTTCACAGAATGTCATGAAAGCAGCTCATACTGTCTCTGGACCTGTGCTAGCCCTGAAAGCAACATAGCTCTGTATATGAAAGAAATAGCTTGAGGATCTGAACTATTTGCTCTGAATCTATGCAGTCTTTGCGTCCAAAGCATGAATTACCTCTACCCAGGTTATACTGGCCTATCATAACTTCTGGTTTGACTGCAAAACAATTCACGTGGCTTCAGTGCCTCCACTTATCATGGTTTTGCTGAGGAGCATTAAACTGTAGGTGGCTTTGGTACTGCAGTTCACAATGCACTGAGTGAACATCAACAAAGGTGGCTGAAATTGCATTGTGTTCATACTGACTTCATTCCTTTGGAAAGGCAAAGCAAAACTATATCAGCTGTAATAGGGAAAAGCCTTTCAGAGTTTCTTGCTCTGTCTTATAAATGTCCTAAGGATTTGGGCAGTATAAAAGTAAAATCTTCCTCTCCAAAACAGGTCAAAAGTGCAACATAATTAGAAAAAGTATTGGTTCCAGACAAGAGTGTCCACTACCATGGCTTTTAGACTCATCTGCACCTTTGTAATCCATGTTGCTTTAATTTGTTCACCAGGATCTTGCTTCAAGCATATTTTAAAGTATGTCTTTTGCTAATGGCTCTTTGCTAAATTGCAGAGAATTCGGAATTAATAATAAATAAGGTTACATAACTCAGTTTGTAAAGTGCCAGTAGATCCTTAGGAAGGCTTCCTATATGCAAAGCCCTGTCCTAATGGTCTCATGTTTTCCTTTTTGTTATACACCCAGTAATGACATGTGAAAGAATGGGAATAGTGTTTGGGACAGAAGTACATGGACACAGAAACATCGTGTTGTGACTTAATAGCTGAATTTTTAAAGAAGTGAGGTTTTTTTAAATACTAAGATTTATAGTTTGTACCATTTTTAAAGTGTATTTTTCTCTCTGTTGTTTTTGGGCTAATAAAACAAACATAGCATATACATAATAACATGACAGATGGTTAATTGAACCACAAGTATTTTTTTGAAGTTTAGGATTAGTTAGCATGCTTGTTTGCTTTCTATACAGAGTATTTTAAGTTTGCAATAAAGTGACCAGTGTCCTTCTTTGACAGATAAATGTACTTTTGCCTCAGGGGAAAGGAATAAAGTTACTGTTTATTCTGCAAGCACATGAGAGAAATGAGTATTAATTATAACTTTCTGTTCTCTCTTTTTAGGCGCTCCTTTGAATTTTTAGACCTGCTGTTACAAGAGTGGCAAACACATTCATTGGAAAGGTATGAGCTAGTATACTTTTTGCCCAGGAATAAACTACTAATGAATTTCAAGACAGAAATATTTTCATTGAATCCTTCAATTGGATTAAATTGTTTAGCATTTGCCAACCTTTCTAGCACAGCAGATTGTGTCTCACGTAAGTGCCAGGGAGAAGGAGAGCTTTATGCTTCAGCCTTGGCTTCATGTTGCATCCTGTCTTTACCCTCTGCCTCTTCTCTAGTATTGCATGTGAGCAATGTGTTCCATGCTTTCTCAGAGTTTCACCTATTATCATGTGTCTTATGCAACAAGGACAGAAGCATCCGTCTTTTGTTCTTGAAAGGAGGAAATCTGTGTTTTTACCATAAAAGATGGCAAGTGGGATTAGACTGGAGGATTTTTTCTGGTAACTATTAAGAGCAGACTGTAGCTTCTCCAGGTAGATAGGAAAATAGTACATGTATCAGCTTTGCAAAGAATGTATATGGTAAGAACCAAGTGAGAGCAAAGGTACTTACTACAGGGCCTCCAGAGATGGCTCTACAGCTCTAAAGAGCTCATCCAGCTCTACAGTCACCCTTCAACCTCTCATGGTGCTTCTGAGAAAGGGAGCAATGGAGACACTTGATTTATGTCCGAGAGTGTATGTATGTGTTCAAAAACCCCCAAACAAAATAACCCCTGCAAAAAACCCAAACCAAGACAAAAAAAGCAAGCCCAAACAAAACACTAACCATGTCTTGAATTAAAGCATGTTTACCATCCCTATTTTGGTTGTTCTGTTGGGCACTTGGCTGTTCTTTGAGCATGTGTTGAGGTTTAGAAATCATATGCCAAAAGCTTTTAGAGGTGAATTTACCAGAAAGCAAATTTACTAATCTTTTTCCTTCTTATTGCTATTAATATAATAGGGGAAATAGTTTTTCAATTTAAAAAAAAAGTAGTTTTTTTTTAAATAAGGTGTTTTTAAATAACTTTTTAAGTGTCATAGTTGCATGTATATCTGAAAAGTAGTTTATAATTTTTTGTAATTGAAGGAAGAAGGTGCATGTGAAGGTGCAGTTATATCATCATTGTGCTTAAGTGTTTGTTTACCTCATCTTAGAAAGGATTACTATCTCAGCTGGTTTTTATGCAGAGAAATGTTTATTCAAGTGTAAAACTTTAGCATGTAAAATAGAATTTGGGGTTGCAAAAGCATGAAGAATATCTTTCTTCTAGGCATGCAGCTGTCTTGGTTGAAACAATCAAGAAGGGCATTCATGATGCTGATGCAGAAGCACGAGTGGAGGCAAGAAAGTGAGTTTTAACTACATTTTGCTCTCAATTATTCTATGTTTTACATGGTTGATAGAACACTACTTGGAGGTGAGTGGCTGAAGAAGAGGGCACATCTTAAGTTGAAAATTGATGTTTCTGTTATTGAAGTCCTAAATTAATATTTAGTTTCTTTTGCAAATGACAAACTTAGTTTTGAGGCAATGAATCCTGTTGTGTAACAGTTGAGGATTCTACTGAAAGAAGAGTCATAAAGGTAGATACTGTTGCACAGTCATTCTCCCTCCCCTCCAACTAATGAAGCAGCTGCAGCACTTTGACTAGTGAGTAGTCCAGAAAATTATTTCTTCCTTCCCACAGAATTGTGAAGTGAATGTGAGAATTTCAGAGTATAGACTAAGTTATTTTGAAAAGATAAATTCAGTCACCCCGGCTGGTTTCTTTTATTAATTGATGAGCAGTATTGTATGCATTACACATTTTCAGTCTGACTTCCTTTCCCTCCCATCCTTGGTTCATTCTGTAATTTTTACTTTGTGACTCACACTTTGCAGAAAATACAGAGCAATTACACATGGTTATTCTTTTCTTTTACAGAGCTTATCTGGGTCTTAGGAATCACTTTCCTGGTGAAGCTGAGACTCTGTACAATTCTCTTGAGCCACCCTATCAAAGAAGCCTCCAGACATACTTGAAGAGTTCTGGCAGTATAGCATCTCTTCCTCAGTCAGACAGGTCATCCTCCAGCTCACAGGAGAGCCTCAAGTAAGGGTCACTTAACTGTTTCTGAACTTATAAACTCATAAAAACTGTTTCTGAAAGAAGGCAAATAAGCCAAATGTCTTTGGTGTAGAAAAAACCTGCAACTGTATTTTGTCACTTTTAATATTTTAATAAACATTTTAATTACATTTTGCTTTATAACAGTATTAGCTCTGCAAGGTTACAAATACGAGCAGTTATCTAGATTTTCACAGAATTGTTGGAGTTGGAATGGATCTCTAGAGATCATGTAGTCCAACTCCCCCACTAAAGCAGAATCCCCTAGAGCACATTACTCAGGACTGCATCCAGGCAGGTCTTGAATATCTCCAGAGAAGGGGACTCCACAACCCCCCATGGCAGCCTGTTCAAGGACTCTGTCACCCTCACTGTAAAGAAGTTTTTCCTCATGTTTAAACAGAACTTCCTATGTTCCAGCTTGTGCCTGTTGCCCCTCATCCTATCACTGGGAACTACTGAAAAGAGTAGTTTGGCTCCATCCTCCTTGCATCCACCCTTTAGATACTTAGAGGCATTAATAAGGTCTCCCCTAAGACTTCTCTTTTCCAGGCTAAAGCATCCCAGCTCTCTCAGACTTTCCTCATAAGAGAGCTGCTCCAATCCCCCTATCATCTTTGTTGCCCTGTTGTAGCAGGCTATTCTTACATATTTCTTTGTTACACCAAAGTATCTTCAAGGTTCGTATCTTGACGCCAGCATTCTGGTGCAATGAATAAGTCTAGGAAAGAAGGGTATTGCTTCTTTTTACCCCTTTTCACTGGGAAAAAAAAAAAAAAAAAGAAAGAAAAATATAAGAAAAAAAAAGATAATGAAGATGTTAACAGTGAGATCATTCAGATTGAAGATCTTTTTTTCCCTGTCTTCACTGTTATTGGCCATATACGAGCCCTCGGCACTGGAAAGACATGGAGCTGTTGTCCAGGGTCCAGAGGAGGGCCATGAAGGTGATCAAAGGGCTGGAGCACCTCTGCTACGAAGGCAGTCTGAGAGAGTTGGAGCTGTTCAGCCTGGAGAAAAGGCTCTGGGGAGAACCTTATAGCAGCCTTCCAGTACCTGAAGGAGGCCTGCAGGAAAGCTGGGCAGGGGCTTTTCACCAGAGAGAGCAGTGATAGGACAAGGGGTAATGGTTTTAAACTGAGAGAGGGGAGATTTAGGTTAGACAAAAGGAAGAAATTCTTCACCATGAGGGTAGTAAGGCACTGGAATAGGTTGCCTAAGGAGGTTGTGGAAGCCCCTTTGCTGGAGGTGTTTAAGGCCAGATTGGATGAGGCTTTGTGCAGCCTGGTCTAGTGTGAGGTGTCCCTGCTAGGAATGTCAGAAAAGTAGGTATTATTCATAAGCTACAAATACTCCTTTTGTGAGGAGTTAAGTAACAGTGCTGACTTCTATATTATCATTGCACTCCTGAGTTAGTAATTCAGAATATTATGCATCTTTTTTCTCTCTGCTTTTTGCTTTAAAATTAGACGTGGATAATTTTTACTAAAGCTGAGACTCTAGACTCAGGCTGTAATTTTACTAGTGATTAAATAGTCAGCTATTTCAGCAAATAGAAACGTTCCCAGATGGACAAATATTTAGATGGCTAGATAAGAATCAATGATGAAAGTGTAACACTTTATTCTGCTAGTCTCTTGCTTTTCCCTGGTCCCTCTTACTGCATTTTACCTTTCTGAACCAGGTGGAAGGGATGGCTCACAGTATAACTTGAGTAGACAGATTTTGCTCCAGCAGCAACTCATTTTTTGCAGTAAGAGCAAAGGGAAATGGAGAAAAAAGACATGGGATTTTTCTCCTTTCAGAAATTGTGGGAACCTCTAACATGCGAACACAGGAAATTCAGTCTAGCTGCTTGGAAGTTTCAGCATTTTCCTTTGTGATTTTTAACTTGATCCTTGGGAGACAGACTGGGGGAGGCTTATGAATTGTACACCTATTTTCCTTGTTACTGCGCATACTGCTTTGCATAGTTTCTTTCATAAATCAAGCTTTTTATGCAGCTTCCACTGTTTTTGTTTGATGGCTGGTTTTAGAAGATCAGCCCTGTGGTTAAAACCTTGTACTGACAACCCTAAATGTTTCTGTGACCAAATCTGGAATGCCTGAACCTTGTCTTAGCAAAGTATGCCTATTGGTAATCAAAGGATTAATGCTTTGTGTTGAAGGTATAATTTTATAAAATGCAAAAGAGAAGGTGGTTGCTTTCCTTATCCTTCTGTATGTAATGTATTTATCTAAAATTTATTGGAAACTTGAAGGGGAAGAAAGAACAGGAGTGGAGGTTTTTCTTTCTGTTACTGTTGCCTTTTGATTCTGATACATGAGACTTACTGGGTTTCTTGACTCCCTTTCCAGTCGTCCTCTGTCTTCTAAATGGTCTGCAGCTAGCTCAGCAAGCCTTGCAGGTAGAGGTAAGGTGGTTGCTACGTAGTGCAATGCACAATAACTGTCCTTTATTTTCTTTGAATTAAAAGTTTTTAATGCAGTTTAAGATTTTACTCTCTTAAGCTTTTACCCCGTTTCTGAGTTAAATAACGGTATGTGTCACTCCAAGGTGCACCTGGAGCTAAGATTTCCTCCTACTTGCTTCATATTTTATGTATTTTCAGTTGTTGCAAGGGTAAGATACAATTTGCTGTGTATTGGTACTATTGATTGATCATCTATGTTGGAATTCTTTCATGGAACAGTCACTCACAGAAAAGCAAAACATTATTCTCTAGTCTAATTAATGGTTATTAGGCTTAGAGCAGTTGAAGATGAAGGATTTGTACCTTCATCTATTCCCATGTAGCCGCTGCTCTATGAACAGTGAAAAGCAAAACCACAGATTTGTAATTCAAAGAGTTTAATTTTGTCTTGAGATTTCAGAATTTAATTTCTTTGTTCTCTTTTTACATGATGTGTTTGTGACTCTTGTGGAGTAAATCATTGAACTCCTTTTTACAAATGGCCAACGTTCTGTATACTGACACTGTTGAAGGGCATTTAGTTGTTGAAGACATAAACCAATGGTTAAAATGAACTGAAGCAAATAGTTAATATACAATAAATAATTGGAGGTGAATATAAAAATACTTGACAGAAGTTTAGACCCTAAAGCAATTGAAAGCATATGTTCAGTTTGCCTGTGCCTTTGTCATAGCTGAAGTGTGGGGATACTATCTTCCCTCAGTTTCATAAGGGTTGCTATGAATTTCCTTCTGTTTGTGAAGCATTCAGTCATGTAATAAATCACATCAATATTCACAATTGTGTAATTTTTACTAGGGTGGAAGCACATAGTTTGTATTAAATAATGCTAAATTTTCATGCTGAAGGAAGATTAATATTGTAAAACAAACTGTTCTTCATCTGAATTGCATGGCAACACTAGGTCTAGTTTGCTTCTTAACCTCAATGGTACTTTGTTTAATGTTAGCTTACATTATTCTACATTATCAGCAGCTCTGCTCCAGTAGTAGAAAACTCTGACCTTTTAAACAGAATTGATGTTATTTGTTGCCGACTGATTTCCTAATTTTACTTGTTTGTTTGTGTGCTTGGTGGGTTTGTTGTGTTTGTTTTTTTCTTGCTAGCCTCAGGCAGCAGCAGGAGTGTTCCAAGCCCAGGATCTCTGCAAAGGTCTCGAAGCGACATCGACGTGAACGCAGCGGCAGGTGCCAAGGCCCGGCATGCTGGCCAGGCAGCTGGAGCTGGGCGCTTGTCAGCAGCTGGTCTGCCCCCGGGCTCTTATGCCTCGCTAGGTAAGCCAGGCATCTTCACTACACTGAGGAGTACTTGTTGAGGTTTTTAGATCAGGCCATTACAGGGAAAATACATACTTCTGCTTTGGAAAAGCTGTTGTTATTTTTAATAGTATTTGGAGTGCTGCGGAAGGGCGGGTGTTCTGTTATGTTGCCAGCTTTGCTAGGTGCTTTATTTTTTTGAGCTTTTGAAGAATGCCAGTGTAAAGAATGTATCTGTTCTGTGCTCTATAAATATATTTGTCTGGAATTAATAGTAAGTATTGGAAGGAGCAGTGTCTTCACTTGGTGATGATGAATTCTTGTTTGTAGAAGTAATAGGGAAATGAATGTTAGGACATTGGATCTTCCATTTTTCTCAGTTCTTTAGCTGACTGTTTTACAACAATGCTAAGGAGATATCCTGGCAGTAAGTGGTGGCTTCTTGCCGTAATATACAAGTGTTTTACACAATAATACACAACATTGGTTTCATAGATTTCTTCCTAAGTGTGTTGATGGAGCTATGTGTATGTTTTTATCTAGGTGACTGTCTTGCTGTCTAGGTGACTGTGCTGTTTAGGCATAGTGCTACCAATTATAAGAATGCAGAAAAGTATTTGATAGTCGTGATGGTAAACGCTAGTACCTCCACTGAGTCTAAACTAAACCAGTCAATGGGGAGGGTAAAGGAGTAGGTTTTTGTTCTTTTTAGGTTATTCATGCTATAGGGGTAGCAATTTGGGAAGTGAGGTGCAGTGTTCACAAAACTGTTAGTGGTTTTTTTTTGTCCACTGGTGGACACCACTGGTGGTCACCAAGGAGCCATATCCTAAGGTCAGTATTGCCAAAAACCACTGCAGGAGAGGCAGGGAAACTATATAGTTCTTCCTATTTACCTTGTGTTTGGGGAGGTGTTAGGATACACTTTGGCTATGGTTTTCAAGGTGTGCTTTTTTTAAACAAAAATTTAAGTTTAAAACTGTTTTACATGAGTTGATTGTTTTGTCCATTCATTTTTAGAATTAAGTTTATGAGCATGAGCAAAGCTGACTGATAGGAATCCTTGTTACTTGAAATAGTGATTTCAGGTCTGGGCTCCCTCTAGTGCCTGCAGGGGGAGGAATCGGGAACCTGCTGGGTAGCAGGTGAACACTAAAGTCAGGCTCATTTTGCTTGGTGATGAAGACATGCTAGTGGTTATCACTTGAGGAATTCTCAGTTCCTCTAAGTAAATGTCTAAAAGCATAAAATCTGTGGGATAATAGTTCTCCAAGATTAGAGTATTGCCTGGTCTAGTTTTGGAGTGCAACAGGACATATTCTGAATCTCAGACAAAGCTGGAGTTCAGCTATTGTGAAAAGTGACACAGAGCATGGTGATAGAAGAAGATGTCAAATCTTTGTAAATTAATCTGACTTATTCATACTGTTGAAATGAAGAGACTACTTTGGTCTTGAGTTTTGTGGAAAATAGCTCTTGATTGGAGTACTGGTTTGCTTTCAGAACATTTTAAGCAATATGTGATTCATGGCCAGAATTTTTTAAGTAAGGTTTGAGAAGGGCATAGAGGTGTTCAGGGAAGTAAACGGTAGTGGTTTTATGCAGGAAAATAACAGAGATAAAGAAAAAACTTAATCTCTTTGTAGTTTTGGTGAGTGAAGCTAGGGGATAGGAATAAATAAGTAGTAAGTCCAGGTCATATTCTTCTAAAGGATTTGAGTAGCTGGAAAGCCTTGCTATCAGATGTAGGCACTTGTGTAGAAGACGACTGTGGTGGCTTGAAATGGCAAAATATTGTGATCCTAGCAATGTATAGCAAAGTCAAACCCTATTGCAGATGTTACAAGGGCAGTGGTGGTCACAAAGACCAAGGTTTGCTTGTAGTCAAACATAAGGAATATTGCTTGATTGATCTTGGCTCATTCTCCTAACAGGTTTTTTTAATAGTGGTAATTTAAGTGACAATTACCTGTCCACTCCTACCTATGTAGAGAAGAGTGTGACTATTGTGTGTTTGACTATGGATTAAGTATGGAATCCACCTCAAAATATTATTTGCTCTTAGTTTAAAAAAGGTAACTTTAAAATGAATGGAGTATGAATCCAAGCTAGTGTTATGTTTCAGAAAATGGGCTAGTTGGTAAACTTTTCCCCCCTGTTCATTTTAAAGGGGTTGTTTACACTGGATCCAAATATGTCAGCTTTAATGACAGATTTGTTAAGATAATGCTGACCACGATACTAAAATGCCTAGGAAATATTACTGTATTTCAGCAGTGCTTTCCACATCTTCTCAGGTGTTGCAGTCAATACCAAAATAAATACCATTGTCTCCTGCAGCTTGAATTTATTATCACCCTTACTTATAAGCATCCACCTTTTGCTTAAACAGCTGCCAAATTTAGAGCCTCAGAGGACCACAAGTTCCTGAGTATAGTAATCTATAGTGGTCTCTACCTGTTTTTTCCTTTTTTGTTATTAATAGAAGAACACTTGCTTACTTATGATTGTAAAGACTGTTCTAGAATCAGGAGGGCATTCTCTAGTTATTCTAAATGTTGACTGTCTTTGAAATCCTAAAGTATTAATGTCCTTTTTGAGGAAACTTGAGCTGTAATTACATGTGTCTCACACTAATTCAATTTTCACAACATTTAATTCACACAATTTTAATTTTGGTGGTTACTGTCATAAAATGTATGCACTACCTTCCAGCTGAACTGGTAAATCTTTAATGCTTTTAAACCAGAGAGGAACTTTCTCCCATTTGTCCTCTGTGTTGTGATGTCTCTTTCCCTCCTGTCCCTTAACACAGGTGGAGCTTTATGCTCAGTTGCAAATTTCATAAGAAATTTAAATATTATGGTTCAGTAATTATATAAATACGTAGTGATGCTTCAGTTACTGTTGGCGCAAAGCATGAAATGGTTTATAAATGTTTTCCTGTAAGGGTTTGTTAAAATCTGAGTAATGCAGAGGGATTCAGCATCCCCATGTAGGGTTGCTTGTACCCTATTCTGTAATTTGTACTTTGGACTGATAGAAACCAACTTTACTTAAAGTAGCTTATACATGCATGAATTAGATAAACACGTCTGCTGTATTTAATATTAATGTATTTTCCTTAATTAATGTTTTATGACTCTGCTGTGAACACCTTTATTCTAACACACTAAGTTTTCCATGTTTCTTTGCCTGCTTTTTCAACAAAGAGGATACTTCTGACAAGATGGATGGTAAGAAATTGTTTAGTCTGTCCTCTAATTCTATTAAATATATAATAAAGTGTCTTTTATGTAAAATTATGGATGTTTAATATATTTGTTAATTAACAAAACGCTATTCTATTTTCATTAACTTCTATGTAATCTTGATGTCTTAATATACATGTTGTGTTATTGCTGTATTTGTCAGTGTCTGCATCATCAGCAGGAGCTATCAGAAATTGGATGTTACTCTATTATTTACAGAGCAATTCTGTAATCAATACATGCTTTTTTTAAACCACCTCTAGTTCCATCGTGTTTTGTAGTTTCACCTTTAAGGTCAGCTGAACAATAATGGGAAAGATGCTTGACCACATAACTAAGGATTAAAAAAAAAAAAAATTAAAATGCTCTCTTTCAGAAGTACTGTATCAAAATCTAGTCTAGCTACATAATTCTATGTGCCTGTAAATCTTGTAACACAATATGATTCTATTAAATAATAGTTTGTTAAGAAGACCTACCTGTTAAAATAGCTTACCAAGCATTCCAGCTAAACTTCAGTGTTTACTTTTTCTTAATTCACTGTATTAGACACATGGATGGAGTTACCATATATTTTCATCCTAGCTGCAAAGCAGCTGAGATACAGGCTTCTCATAGCTGTTTTCTGTTTCAGATGTGTTTAAGTAATGTTTCCCATGTAATAAAGCTACAGAGTCCCAGATAGATGCCTGATAATTCTGGTTCTGATTTATTGCTGGGGAAAACTGAAGTCAGTTATGTTTGCTACTTAATTCTTGGCACATATTTATATTGAAAGCACATTTTTTCAAAGAATGAGTAGTTTACTGGAAGCAAAGCAGATGGTATTTGTCATAAAAATGAAAACAGTAAGAAGGTAGATCTGTCAAACCCAGAATCCCACAGCACAAATAATTTTCATCAGAGATACTTTTTGGAAGACTGTGAGCCATTTTTTGTGTATTGCAATTGGAAAGTTCCTTCAATAAAATACAGAGGGTTTGTACAGGATAGTAATGTCTGTCTTGCTTAATTCCATATCAGATTTTCTTATGTGGCATGTAATAGGATTTATTTATAACTATCAGCCCTAAACACTTAGTGGGGAAGTGCTACACAGTTGATCAGAATAACAGGGTTTTTTCTAGATTGTATCTGTAGGGATGATGTCCAAGACAGAATGTACACATCTTAGCTCTCCAGCTGCAGTTGTGTGATGTAGCTGCTCTGATCTAACCACCAGCAGGAGGAACTAACCATTTTTCCTTTTCCCACTAATCCTGGCCACTTTCTTCACTACTCTATTATTAATCACCATAGGTGAACAAATTCCAGAAACCTGATTTCATAAAACAGAAGTGAATAGTATTCTGTTATTTAGCTTTTGGAACTGCCAGTGTGCCTTGAGCCATCCAACCAGGTGGTAGCACAAAGGTGAAGAGGAAGGAGAAGCAGAATCACCACTCTTAGGAGGAGCTAGCTGTTTGCCTGGCTTAGGTGTTGCATAGAGCCTGCCTTCCAAGATCGAGCTCTTGAAGGATGTTGGATTTGTGGGGATAGTTTAGGGGTTGTTGTGGTTTTTTTTTATACAGACTGGCTAATTTGAGCTGGAAAACTCTGAGACACTCATTCATACACTTCTTGTAACTGATTTTTGTGAAGAAGCATTGAAAATTATGCTGAATTGATTTTTAGAGGGAGTTTCTTAAAATAGTGCCTTGAACATAGTATAATATGAAAAAGCCTTAGCTGGATTTGCTGAGTCAGTCAGGTTCAGGCTAGCCAAAGACACAAACACACATTTTAATCATTGTAGTTCTCTTACAAGGCAGAAGCAGCATAGAGTGAACACAAAAATAAAAATAACCTTGGATATTTTCTTTTGAGGCCTTTAACATTTCTATCACTGCTCATACATATTCTGTTCCATAATCAGTTTTGTTTCAAAGGATCCTATAGAGAGGAAGGACTGCTGTTTAGATAGCTTCCCATCAATTCCTAGGTACTGATGTCAGTAAAAGGATTAGTCTTACTCTCATTTTCTCACAACCAAGCCATGTTAAGCTTGGCATCCTTGTTAAGTGTGATCTGGTTTCAGCAAGCTCATATTACTTCCACTTATCTGAGCTAAATTTGATCTTATGCATGTTGACCTTCATATTAATGTAGATCTTCAGAGTACTTAGGGACTTAATTCAGATAAATCCTCCTTGCTGGAAGTTTCTATTAAATTATCACTGTCCAGTGTGGAAAAAACTGTCTTTGTGTTTTTCTCTGAGATAATAGTATGTTTTACATTTTCAGAAGAACTTGCTCAAAAATGTTTTTAATGTCTTTTTTGACCTGAACACGTCATTTTGTTGACTTACAGGGGCTTTTTTTAATTGATTTTTTGTGTGTGTTGTTTTGTAAGATGTTTGGAAGGCAGTGCTATATATTTTGCTCTTGTAAATCATTAACAGCATAGTATGGATGTTTCTTGATTTTGCTTCAGTTCAATAATAGAGTTGCAACACAAAAGATTTAGACCCCTTGACTTGATAAAATTTGTCAGCATTCACAAGATTAATCTCAGAAAGGAACTGGAGAGACACAGTATTGTTTGGAATATCATGTATTTTATTATCTTTTCTGTTTAGGAACAGCTTCTGAAGATGGTAAGAAAATATTTTGTTAGAACAGCTAATATTTTCAGCTTTGTATTTTCATTCATACAAATAAAGCTTCAAAGTAGAATCTGATCTTTCTGGGGCTTTGTGGAGGTTCATAACTGTAAATAGCTTATGCATCTAATACTTGGTTGTCATGTAATATTTTTTAAATTCTTTTGCTTTTATTTTAATTCTCAAGTACTCATCTGCAGTAGGAGTGTCATTGCTTAACATTTTTAGTGTGAAAATGTAGGAGCTTGAATTTTGCTTTTTTTTTTTTTTTAATGTATCTTGTCACAGAATATTTCATCAAATGTGTTCATGCTCTGGGAAGCAGGTGCTACTATTACTCATCTCTTTGAGACTTGGGAATTCATTTTCAATATGCTATTAACATTTAAACCTGTCATTAGCGAATGGATGTAGAGACTCCAAGTGAGTTAACAGTTCATTTGCTTCACAAATACAAACTGTTCCTTTGCTTTCATAAAATTGAACCAGGTTCCAAGTGATAATTTATCATAGTAGCAAAATAGTGGCACTCTGTGTTCCTAGTTTTTTTGGCCAAATTCTGAATGCAGTTACATACCTTGCAGTCTCATAACATTCAGTGGGAAAACATTGCCATTGTATAGGGATAACTAGTAGAGTTTGGACTAGTTAATCTAAACATTCTTGCTAGCATACTGTTTTCTAATATTTTAGTGAATAACCTCCTTTGTCCTGATTCTCTTCCTATAGACTCTCACCTATGGCTATTCCCTCTACTCGGATTAATAATATTAACTTGGTTGGTCTCCAAATTCTGCTGTGGAAAGCCTATAGCGGCTAGAACTAAATAACAGGCTACGTACCTAATTCTTCTGGGTCAAATACTGACTCCACATGTCTAGAAAATATTTTAATTATGCTGGTTTAGAAAGTGGATTGCCTTTTGAGATCCATCCACCCTGTACAAGCTTTTTTGGATATTGGTCTTACAACTTATAAAAATTCTGGTTAGCATGGATTTGCTTTTGTTTTTCTGTTATTTGAGAGGTTGTCTTAGGACATGTAGTACACATCTCTACTATTTATTTTATAAATAATTTTTCAGTTACCTATAGTTCATCCAACTGGGGTCTTCCTTTCTTTTGTAGTTTCAGTGTATGTTCCAGATGTTATGAGGAACGTGGCTAATAATGCAAACAGATGTAACCCAAACCCAAGGTGGTTTGGCATTTTAGAGGGATGTGGCTCTGTTGTTTGTGTTGTAGATAGTTTAATGTCTCTTCCTGAGTTGTTCTGTCTGTTGCTGAGAGTAGTATTTCCTTATATCATGTTGTCACTGAGAACGCAGTCTTTGTCAAGTATTGCATAAGGCTTGGGAGATCCTGTAGAAGGCTTTTATGACTGGCCAGGCAAACAGGACAATGTTCAGTAATAGAAAAACTAGTATTTCTAACAAGGGGACTGAAGTTAGAAAGAAAGCTTGGAACCCTATTCAAAAAACAGTCAAGATATTTATTGTAGTTTTTATGACAAGAAGTAGAATTACACCCACAAGTATTCATGGGAAGAGTGTACCAGATACAGCAACATTGGCATATACATTGCTTACTATATTTAATAAACTTCCCTTTTTAAAAATATTATCAACCTAATTACATAGGAAGCAAGAACTAGCTAGCTAGTTCAGGGAGTTTAAGACATAATGTGTAAATCATTTACTGAAACCTAGCATCAGAGAAGTATTATTTTGATTCCTCAACTATTAAGTCTTTCAAGGTATTCAAATTTCTACTAATTATCCCAAGCGAATTTTCACCAGTTGAGTTCTGCTATGCTGCTTTTTTATCTGCAGTCACTTAAGAAAATACTAGTAAATGCTACTGATGCTTTGATTTCTACATGACTGTGAAAACCTGATTTAATGCCATTTTTCTTTTATAGGTCGTGTACGAACAAAGCTTTCAACACCTTCTGTTGGTATTGGAAATTCTAAAACAGATTCCAGAGGACGGAGTAGAACCAAAGTGGTGTCACAGTCTCAGCGTATGTATTTTCTGTTTGTCAGTTATACCTGATAAAGAGGCCAAATGCTTAAGCATATATTCATTGACCAATGGCTACAGTCAAAGTTAATTTTTTAAAAAAGCTACATACTGAGTTGTTGTTCTGTGCCTTAGGTTCATCATCGCCAGACAAAAATGAAGGTATTTTTTTCAGTGTTTTGGGTCAGTGGTATTTTTGCATGCTTTTCTAATTCATGTTGTTTTTATCTGGAAAAAATGAGGTTAGGTCTTAATTTGCCAATTGAATTAGATAATGTCATAGGAAATTAAATCTACCCTTACATTCTGTCTTCAATTACAACTTCTCAACATTCTTTTCCCCCCCTTTCTGACCTTCCCAACACAAAACACCAGAAAACTTCTTTAGCACTTACACATAACACACAGACAAGTAATAAAGTAGAATGGGTAGGCTGAATGGTGTCCTCAGTGTAACCTGCAAAACCTAATTTTTCATTTTAAATAATGTATTTTAAACCCTTCAAATTTTAAATCTAGATTAAATTAAATACCTATTTTTCAGTTTAAGCTAGGTACTACTCTGCCTCCTAGATATGTACTCTTTTGATTACAGCTGTTACTTACTTAACTTTCAAATTTTAAATCTAGATTAAATTAAATACCTATTTTTCAGTTTAAGCTAGGTACTACTCTGCCTCCTAGATATGTACTCTTGATTACAGCTGTTACCTTTACTTAACTCTTCTTCAGAGTAAAAACAACCCTAGCTTTATAATCAGTTACTTAGCTTATATGGAATCAAAATATTAAAACAACAATTTGCTGTATGTCAGCTAATCCACAGTAATTTTTAATGTGTTTTTAGAAACTAAAGCAAATGCAAGATTTCCAATCTATCTGAGCACTGTCATTAATTTAAAAGATCTGATTACCTCACATTATTTGGCACTGGCTGTCCTACAGCAGTTTGTTCACACATCTAATGTCTGTGACAAGTATCTTCTGACTAAGCTCTGTAGTATTTTCAGAATCTCATCTTTGTTTAAGTGAAAAGCAAGGAAATAAAGAAAGGATGACAAATTAACAATAAAATTAAAATTGACTAACCAGTCAGGTCTAATATTATAAACCCATTAAATTATACGCTTTTAATTTTCCAGTAGAATTATTTTGCTATCGATAACCGTATCCACTTGATTTTAATAAAACCCCTTAATGCTGTAGTTCATGGCAGAAACATTTATCTTCATAGCAATTAGAGCACTTACCATAAAGCAGGTAGAAGAGTTTTGGGGTTGTTTTCCTGTTAAGAATGCTTCCCACTACTTCATTATCTAACAAAATGCAGTTGGATCAAGCCTGATCCAGTGCTTGCAGGTTTTGTGAAATAAACATATAAAATATATAATAATAATAATAAAAAAATCCAGTAACAGAAGTTCTCAGGTTTTGTTTGTTGTGGTTTTCTTGCTTTTGTGGGTTGAGAGCTTGCAAAGAAAGTCTAGTTTTTGACTGTGACAAAGGGTGTGCAAAACTTGTTTTATGTTTTCTGTGTCAGGATGACTACACTACATCATAAGCAAAGAATATTTGGATTACTAATTTTAGGGGGAGGGAAAGTAGCAGTCTTGTCAAATTACTTTTTCCCTTTATGAACAGCTGTAGCAGTATCTGTAGCATTCTTAGTATTAGGAAAGTTCTGAAATAACACCTTTGTATTTTGGATAGATTTAGTAAATGCTTAAAAAGTTATGGTGCTTGATAAACTGTTTAGGGGAGAGGTTGAATTTAGGTAGCTATATAAGATTTTTGTGGTGATCATTGTTGTAATATTAATTAAGCTGAATATACAGGGAAACAAACTGAAGCAATTCGGTTTCTTTTTACTTATAATGACTACTTTTTTTTTCCCAAGAAAATTCATTTTTGCACAGTATCAATGTCTAAAGAGATAAGTTGAATTGATACTGACACAACTAGATTTGTTTACATGTGATAGTGTGTGAAAATTAAATGCATGAATACATCTTTAGAGCCTTTTATTACTTCTGCTCACAACTGATGGCTTCAGATAGCTCATTATAACCTGTCAGTGGGGGAGAATAAGAATTCTGAGATGTTTTAAAGAAGATAAAGAAGGCAAATACAAATGGACAGGCAAAGGAGAACTGTCAGGCAATGTATGCCAGCTATTGGGGTGACACTTCTTTCTGTGACTGTAAATTCTCACAGCTTTGTGGGGAGCAAGTGCTTGATATTTTCATACAGGGAATTGGTTTATTTCCCTAGCTTATAGTGGGAGAACAGCTTCACATTAGATTTAATACTTTTTTAAAAACCACTGTAACACAAATGCTTTTGTGAATTTAGGGTTTCAGCTACTTAGCACTTTTGTTCAAGGATCATCTTGTGAAAGACTTGCAAATTTGAATGCTTTTACCAAAAAAATACTGGTTTAGGGTTTTAGGAGCCCTTTACTCTTCCTCTTGTACTTTTAAATTGTACAATGAAATAAATGCATATACAATCTACAGGTAATTATCTTGTTCTTATATTTGGAAAAAAATTGTTCCATTTTTTTCCTCTCCCTTCCTGTTTGGTTGTCAGGTGATTCAGCGAGGTGTACTAAATTTTGTCAAAATCTTGATTCAGAGATAAAGAATTAGATTTCTGAATGGAAACAAATTCTTACCTTTATACTTCAGATTAATTTTAAAGAGGAAAACCTGAAATTCTATGCAAGTCTTTTAAGTTGTGCCATTGTGAGTTTTTTTCGTTTTGGTTTGTTGGTTTTCTTTGGTTTTTTTTCATCCACTGCACCTGCAGCTCGGTTCCTTTACTGTCTTGTCTCAAAAAAAAAGAAAATGTTTTGGCCTTGTGTGTAATTTTCGTTCAGCTGTTGAACTTCTTGAACATTTTGCCAATGTAATATTCTTTTAAAGTAATATGGAAGCTACAGTTTCATGTTTAATTGAAATGTAATTCTTCAGTATAATCCATTTGTTGATTAGAAAGCTGAAGAATTGTAATTTGCTTGTGCAGCTTGGCTTCATCTGCTTTGTACATAGCATCTGAGTTTAATTCTTCAATTGTGGAAGCTACTTAAAAGCACTGCTTTAGCATAACCCCCTTGTGGCTTTTTTTCTTGTGTGAAATGACTAAAGCTTTCTTATTTCCATTTGCCATCCATTTTTTAATCTGCTCTGCTCCCTCCCTCTTCATGGATTATAAACCCCTACCCTAATCCTGCCTTTACACTTGTTCAGGATCACAGTCTGCTAACCCCATTGGTGGTAAGAGTCTACAGAATTTGTGTATACATCATTGTTTGATCACCTGTTGAACATACCTCATTTAAGGACCCTATTCAGCAGAAATTCCAGCTTGCTTTTTTCCATGTGCCACACTTACCTAATTGGATGTAACTCTTATTTAGAAAGCAATAGAAGTGGGAGGCTTGTCATTTTGGAATACTGTTTTAACCATCCTTTCACCATGCAGCTCGCTTAGATCTATTACTGGTGGTAGTACTTAGAAAAGCATAGCATGATGCTTTCAGGATATTAAGCTTCAATTGGTTTATTTGCGCTATAGGGGTACACTCTGCAGGTAAGACAATAGAAAGGTAAATGAAGTATTAGAATGAGAGGTTGCATTTCTTCTTTGCAGTCGAGAACTCTTTAAGTTTTGTAGGTTTCTGACCTATTGAAGAAAATCTTCTTGAAGTCTCCAGTCCAGTGAAAATTAGAGTATTTTCATTGTTTTAAAGAGACATAAAACATGGGAGGCTAGGAAGGAGGTATTGTAATATCAGGTCTAAGTTGAAACACTCTGATATGAAGAAAGTGCCAAACCTTTAATTTGTGCAGACCACAGCAATTTTATATATTTGCCTATTCTTTGTTCAATGTAGAAGTTATGCTGTTTTTTCCAGGCTGTGTAATACATTATTTATCATTTCTGCTGAATAGGTCCATAGTTTCAAAAAGGGATTTTGCTTAAATAATCATTTCAAGTTTGAATTCAAACAATGAATCTGAAAGTATATGCATGGTACATTATTTTAGTTTTCTCCCTTCCACTCAGCATATGTTTTGTTGGGATTTTTTTTCTTTTTCCATATGGTCAAGCTTTAATCAACTTATATCTTTTTTAAATGTGCCTCATGAGAAGTAATCCATGAAAGTCATGTAAGATGTTGCATGTTATATCTGTAGATCTGATAGCATAGCTGTGGTCATACAGTTATCTGATGATTTTTAAAAGATTAGGGAAAAGTTAACATTTCTCTATGTAATTAACCTTTGGTTAAAACGATGTTTTGCTTTTTATTTGGTCAGACTTCTTGAACTCTGCATCTGAAAACCATATAGCAACGGGTGGTATGAATTGATTTTAAATAGAGAAGAATGGGTTCTTTATTAGGTCATAGAAATTAAGTTTTCTGTAACTGAAATCAAAATTAGGAATCAATGACCAGTTGCTGGTAGTGAGTACAGTGTGTTGAAATTAACAATTGCAGCACTTTGTAATGTACCGTTATGATCAATTAAAATGAAGGACACTTAAAAACATCTTGATCAATTTTTTGGCTTGTTCAGAATTAATTGAAGATTCTCTCTGAATTTGTGAGAGAATCCACGGGCACAAACATGAATATTTCAATTGTCTTTTGTGACATTTTATTTAACTTCTCAGGGAGCAGTACTTGAAGACACCATGCTTTTATAAGCAAGGGAGAAGAGTTGAAATTGTAGGAAAATGCTGTAATTTTATAATATTGGTTGCATGGGAAGAATAATTATGAAATTACTCAAGTTGCTCCCTTTAGCTTTCTAGACGTTTTTTCCCTTTTTTAATAGAAAATGTGGTTATGAGACCACATTGCTTAAAAAAAATGAACACATTAATGTTCATGATAGGAATATTAGAACTGTTGATGAAGACTAGAAGTACTGTTTATGCTTTTTTGAGCATATGTAGTACTAAATACTGTGCCAAGTGCTTCCTTGCATTGATTATTTTATGTATTTTGTATGTAGTGCTATAAGAACTTGGACCAGGGCTTTCTGTTTTCACATTTTTACCTTGTTTTTCCAGACCATTTCAATCTACCACCACTTTCCTACTAACTTCAAGCATTTTTTTTTTCCTTTTTAACCATGTTTGTTTGTGTTCTATGCTGTACTTACTCATGCTTCTTCATTGTGCATTCAGCTGGCAGTAGATCTGGGTCTCCTGGAAGAGTGTTGACAACGACCACGCTTTCCACTATGAACACAGGAATTCAGAGAGTGTTAGTGAATCCTGCAACTGCACAAAAACGAAGCAAAATCCCACGAAGTCAGGGATGCAGTAGAGAAGCTAGTCCTTCTAGATTGTCAGTAGGTAAGAAACACTTGAGTAACTCTTCTTAGCCATTCTTTCTTTAAGTGCTGGATATCTACAGCTTGTGTTTACTTACAGCGGGTTGACAAAATTCCAATACATATTGGTGAAAATCTAAAACATGCCTATTTTCTGATGCTGGTCTTTGATATACGAGACAGTTTTAAATTTAAGCTGAAACTTGAATATTTTTTCTGTCAAAATGCAGTAGTTGTTCTTTTCCTCACCTCCCTGTCTTCTGTATTTCACTTTTCTTCACTTCTTATCTCCAATCCCAAAATATCCATATCCATTGGATGAAAGTGTGATAGCATTTTGAAAATACTATTTTCTCCATTACTTTTATGTGTCTTTTGTGTATGTGTGCGTGCAAGTGTATACTTCCATGGTACAGAAATGACCATCATACTTCTTAAACCTGATGGTGTAAACTGATTACACTTTGTTACAAACTATTTTATTGAAAATTATCCATTGATTTTAGTGGCACTGCAGCTGTTCTTTGTTTTTTATTGTGATATTTAACTTAGCTGTATTCACTTTTTATTTTCCTTCTTTAGAAAGATGTGGTGGGTTGTTTTTTTTCTCTTTCGTGGTACTGTTGATTAACTTGATCTCAAGCACAAACTGTGAATCAAAAGTCTCTGTTTTTGTTTTTGTTCTTTGCTTGTTTCCTCTTCATCAATTTAAAGAAAATTTTCAGCCATTCTCTGAAGAGCTGGTAAATCCCCATTTTTAGCTGTGCAAAGAAACAATTTCATTGAACTGGCTACACTCAGTATAATCCAGCACGATCAGGAAAGTGTGTGGAAACAGTTATGACTTATAATACCACATAATCATCAGTGTCTTATCTTAGAAGTACATCTTTGATCTTACTGCAAAACCAGAATTGCATTAAAACTGCAACTTTTCTTATGTCTTCTCCCTTCTGTGCTGCTGTTTGTCTGTACCCTGAATCATACTAGCACGAGGCAGCCGCATTCCTCGGCCTAGTGTGAGTCAGGGGTGCAGTCGGGAGGCCAGCCGGGAAAGTAGCAGGGACACGAGCCCTGTCCGCTCTTTTCCACCCCTTGGTAAGTACTCAGAGCCCCTTGTTGTGCATGGCTGTCTTTGCCCTTCATTATTTGCACCTAACGAATCCATGCCTCCTTCATTTAGCTTGTAGCTGGCCACCGTTGTTTTCCCTTCCTTTGGCTCACTCACCACTTACTTCGATGGAGAACTGACCAATGTGTGAATGGGTTGCACAGTTGAGAAAGAAAAGCTTTGCTACTAGTGTTAGCCTTAAGTTCCAAGGCTAGAAAGGTGTGTGACATGCAGTGCCTAGAAATCTTTTCAGAAAGAGCAGTTCTGCTTTGGAAAGTTTTTTAAAATTAGATGTTGCTGTTTTTATTACAGCACTTGTTGCTTGGGTGTAGTTAGATAATCCATTTCTCACTGACCAACTAGAACAAAGAATATAGTGTGACTGTTGTCTTCTGCCTTTCCCTGCATCAGCAGTTAGGATCTGCTAATATTCAAAATTGCTCCCTAGTTAATTAATCATTTTGGTGTGTAAGAAGAAAATACACTTAATTTTATGTCTCCTCAGCTATACTGGCATCACTGATGTGAAAAAATAATTAAAATTTTAACTCTTTGCTATTAAAGCAAGTAAATGTGGTGGTGCAGATAAGGGACCAATATACTAAAGCACAACTGTATTCTGAGGCTGCTTTCCGTTTCCTAAAACTGATCAAGGCAAGTAGTGAAGTCCTTATCCAAGCAGATTAACCAAAGTACATTTCTGAATTTTACTTCTAATCTGTATCAAGCAAGTGGTAAATAATAAAGGTAACAGCTGCTATATAGGGAATAAGAGAGGAATTGAAAACATCAGTGTTCACACGTGCATTGCCAGGTTCAGTCCTCATTCCTAGAGCCTGCTATAACCAAAAGTTTTGTTTCCACTTAATATTTCAGCTTATTGGCCTCTCACTTAAAAGACTTTGCAAGATTGTCAGGCTGCTTTTTCTAAGACATCAATAAGGCATAGGAACATGAGCTTGTAATTACTTTAATACAGTGTTGCTTAAGGACTAGAGAAGCTTCTCATCTCCATGTATCCTGGTCAAGCTTACTGTGAAGTTAGAAGGAAATTTTAGTAAGTGTCTTTTTACATGTTTTTGGTAGTTTGGTAGTAGGAAAATATCTCTGTAAGATATATTTGAAATTAATATTTTTTTATTGTTGACTAAGTCTGAGTTATTCTTCAGTATGCATCCATCCTCTTTTGCTTATGTGTAGGTTGCAGTTAAAGATTTTGTAACACTAGCTGTTAAACATAGTCTGAAAATAAGAAACCTCTGGTTTCTGTGTCAGATTGAGGCACCTGACTGTGTTCGCAATTGGCACTACAAATCTGTTGTCATCTGTTAAGGCAGTTAATGCCTCCTGTCAACCATCATCTTACTGGGAAAGTACAGACTAATGCAAGGAAAACTGTTTCAATAACTAGTGCTAATTTGTCCAGATGCTATTTAATTGGGAAATTAAGTTAAAAGTAAACAATGCAGGATCTGTTAGTGAACTTCTATCTTTTACTAAAACACCTGGCAGATAGTGTTGTAATACACACTTTCTTTTCTTTAAAAAACAAGGTTTTATTCCAGATCGTTTTGTGATTCTTTTCTACCTTACAACTTGACTACATTTGCATGCATTTGAGATCTGGTTTACATTTGATATTTGGTCAAATGCTTAAGAAAACTGTATTAAACTAATAACATAAGATGGGTCATTGAGACAGATGCTACTTGAGGATTTATTTTTATTAATGGAGTTTAATTTTTGTATTCAGATATCGAAACAATTCCCTGTACAAATGGAGTGGGTTGAATTATCTGATGCAAAGTAGCATGTATAGGAATCCAGTGCTTTTTTTTTTTAAAAAAAAAAAGAGCTATACCTGGAATAAATTAATTTTTCTAGGGTTCCTTCTAGTATGACTTCTTTGCATTATTTCAAATGTCGTTTAGTGTTTTATTAGATCAGTTTTAGCTTACAGGATGGTATTAACTTCTATCAAAAATCTTAAAATTTAATGGTTTTTATGGGTACAAGAGGAAGATGAAATAAGGTAAACTCAGCTCTGTGTTTGTAGCTGCAGACAGTTTTACATGGGGTTGGAGAGAGGAATGTGTTTTGTATTGCATCTTGATTCTCAGCACAGAAATTTTTACTTACAAATGCTAAACTCCTCTAGACATAACATGACCCAAACGCTACATAATTGCTTCTCTGTATACATCAATGTGAAGTATTTATGTAATCTCACATCTCAGTATAAGGTTATAAACTTGGAGATGACAGCCACTCTGAGAAGGAAGTGATCTGTAATTTATATGACCATGCCTTGTTTTCTGTTTCATGTCATTAATACTAAATATCAGACTAGTATAATTTCCATATTTTAGTGAAGAAATCATGTCATTTTGAGTCCGTTTAAAATCTTATTTTCATAATCTTAAAAAAATATGAAACAACAAAAGTAAATACTTGCATAGTTTTTGCCGTTGAGAGGATACAAAGAATATTCTTGAAAATATGCTTGAAACAAGGTATGTTTGATCCAATGTAGTGCTTTCTTTCACCATCTGGTTAAACTTGTCCAGCATATTTCAAACCTATATGGGAACAGGATTGTCTTGAATTATAGAACTAAAGTTTTAATTTTTAATTGTACCATTAATTTTCAGGGCTTGCTGATGGAAAGCAATAGAAAGGCTTATCCTGTTATTGCTTGAACTTAAAGCTCTAGCAGTCTTGATGCCTATGTTGTGACATCATCTGTCCTGTCTCCTTTTCCATGCTGAGACATACGATCTTGAGAACCAAGTAGTCCACAAAACATTATTTGAAAAATAAAATTCCCTAGCTAAGGAACTTTATGCAGGTTTAGTTTGAAAGAATATACATTGCTGTACCTTACATAAGGAGTAGAAAACTTAATGTGGAAAAAACATGATCGTGTTATAGTACTTAGCATCATTTTGGAGTTCACTCATGTTAAAAGAAGTCTGCTTACCCAAATCCTTGTCAGGGTTTTTGATTCAAATCAGACTCTTAAATTGTCTGTGTTAATCAGAGTAAAGGATGGTTTGTAGCTTCTATTATTTCCTGCATCCAAAAGGTGTAAAGTAACTGCATTTGCAGTTTCATATTAAATTAAAAGATTATATCTGGGGTTTATACTGTGGGTGGACATTTGAATTCAAGTTAAAAATGTCAAAACCAGTTTCAATTACTAGCCTCTCAAATTCTAGCTTAAGTGAATTTCAGAAAGAAGAGGAATCATTTAAAAAACTGATTCAATTTAGAATTCTTTGGTTTAAGAAAGAAAATATGAGCAAAATATTAATGAGTTAGCATCTTTAGAAGCTCTAAAAAGAACACTTTTTTTACAAGTGCCAGAAGGAAGAGGGTACTCAGTTGTATTCAAAAGCCCTTAAGGATCTTTGGTTCCCACTTTCCATAACTTTAACGGATCTTAATGAGCTATGTTAACTAATATAAATGTTTTAATTTCACATTTTATTTATTTGAAGAAAACAACATGAATGTGAAATATTAATTGCATTAAATTATTTTAAACTTGCAAGTGAATAATTTTTAACCTTCATCTGTGGAGTGGTGAGGTTAAATTATCTGCACATAGGCAAGAAGCTTATAAAATTGTCATCTGCTAAAACACTAAGTTCATGCAGTAGTTGCTTTTGCAGATAAAGTTTGTTACTTGAGCTCTGGCTCTAAGTGGAGTGTGTAGAATGGAGTTAACTCTGCAATGGAAGACCAGTATCAGTGGAACTTTTCTAGATATTTCTGATGATTCTGTTTGTGTGTGTTGTGTCTGTTGTTTGGGTGTGAATGTGTCTACGCATTATTTTTCTTTAAACTTGTGAAAGTACTTGCTTTTAATCTGCTCTTAATCTTTAAAATTACAAAAAATTATGCATGAAATGTCCATCATACATAAACCCGTATCATTCTATATAATCAAATCCTATACAATCAAAGAACTTCTGTGATTTTTTTTTTTCCTTCTGTATGATGCTCTGTTTCTTGTGCTAAAGCTGAATCTTTTAAATAAATGTTCTCTTGTTCATCTAAACAACTATTGCAGCAATTTGATTCCATGGTAATAGATAGGGTTTATATGATCCTGTTATTGCAGCTTCCAGACATCACTCCAGATCCACTGGTGCCCTCTACGCTCCTGATGTTTATGGAGCTACAGGTGAAGGATGAGTACACTTTGCTGTCATCTGTGCAGTCATCCTGGATTTTTTTTTTCCCACCCACTTGGTTATTCTCATAGTTCAGTTTTTGAAAGCATTATTTATATTAATTTGAGTTTTGTTGTTTTAATAGTCCAGATAGATGTGTTTATGTTCCTAGATTTCGTCTCCACCCCCACCCTCCAATGTTAATCCATTTCCTCCGTAACAACAATCATTTTATTTTTACTTGCAGAGGAACTTGTGTTAGTTTTCCATTTTTCAGTATGAGTAGAGCATTCTTTATGCATGTAGTTTTCTAATCAGCATTCTCAATAGCCTTCATATTGTATTTGCTTTCATTTTAAATGAAAACAAAAACCCAAAATGAAGAAGACAGTAATTGAAAAAAATAAGGCAAGTTATTTTAGTTAAAACCATTGTTCTGTGGGATTTTCCCCTGTAACACCAGAATATATTGTTTGTGTATGACTCTTGTTTTTCCTTCATTTCTTTTTGCTGCACCGCTAAAGATTTAAGAATGAAAATAACTGGTATTTTTGCCACTACATAATGTGTTAGAAAAGTTAAGCAAATTATTTTCTTCTGCTTGGGTTTTGTTAAGTGAGTGCGGTATTAATGTCCCATGTTACCAATCTAACTGAAGTCCTGATGATGATTTTTGTTGTTTTTATAACAGGGACCGGCTTTGGAATTAGTCAGTCGAGTAGACTGTCATCATCAGTTAGTGCTATGCGGGTTCTGAACACGGGTTCTGATGTGGAAGAGGCAGTAGCAGATGCTTTGGTAAGGAGCTCTCACTCACCTTGTGTAGGAGACAGACCTTTAAAGTGTTTGGTATCTGTACATTAAAAGACCTCGTCATTCCATATTGTATTGGCCTCTAGGTGGGGGAAAAAAGAGAACCTGAATTGTTAGAGTTGCAAAGTATTGGTATTTTTGTGCCCTACAGAAGTCTTACCTTCTGAGAAACATGCATTTTCCCATGGGAGAAAGGAAGAAGTCTTGGACTATTCTGTCAGAGTGGCCCAATGAGCTGCATGAGCAGTAGCACTTCTCATCAGTTTCCCTCTTAAGTCTAAAACAAGTTACACCCTTCTCCTTTTATTGTTCTTTGAAAGGATGGGTTTGATTTCTTCACCTCCCTGCCCCAGTTCGCTAAACTCAACTCGTATATTTTTCTATTGACATTTATGTCAGCAAGCTGAAATCTTTAATTAATTTAAAATACTGGCACTATGAGTCAGATCCATATTTATCTGGTATTGATGATATGCCATTTGCATATAATTTAAAAATTTATAGGTACCTTTTATCTAGTTATCAGAATGCTTTAAGTAAGTCGTTATTACTCTGTTTTAACAAAAATACTATTTGGAATATTAGAAGAAAACATCAAATTAGACTCTAAAATTTCAATAATAGCCACATATGACTGTATAGAGAGAAACAAAATTTCAAAGGAAAAATTCCAGACAACTCTTTTCATGTTCTTAGTCTGGCAATTTATTGATTTCTTGTTTAATATTGTCTTATTGGCACTTCAATTCTAAATCTGTGTGCCTTCACTGGTATAAAGATCAAAGTATCTGTGAAATCTTGACAGAGAGGTCATGGTGAGTTTTAATGTGTTTTTTTTTTCCTTTCTATTGTTGTTTCAACATTGATGGGGAATGCTAATTACTAAGCTGGAAGTTAGTCTCGATTTTGGAATAGGGAACAGTAGAAAAACAGTCCATGGAACATGAGAAGTTTCTGCCTGTAATTTGAAAGCCTCTGATATAGATTTGTCCACACTGATGCTTACATGAAAATTACCAAGTGCTTTTAGCAGCTTCATAGACTATTCAAATTTATCTGGGCAAAGTATGGAGTCAATAATATAAATTGAGGAGAAAGTCATGCTTCCAGTGACTGCTGTTGAGGTTTGAACATGCCCTGCTTAGTTTGATAGTTTGTTCATAGAGGCTGGTTTGTACTACCTGAATACAAAAGGGCATCATGCTTCTAGAAACGTTAGAGAAAAATCTGGAACTTTTTAGCTAGGATTTGTCATTACAAAGAAGGATCAAGAACAGCAGTATTTTTTTATTGTGTTATGTACATGCCTTGTTGCCTGCCGTGCTCTAAATGTACAGGTGGTTCTGTACAAATGGCTCAATTTAAATGTAAATTTAATTAGGAACACCCTTCTTGTTTTGTCCTAGACTGAAGCCCCCCTTCAGAACAGTGTTTTTAAAAGGTAGAATGTAAACTGAAAGATGTAAGAAATTGAAAATATTCTGGATTGTATTAATATTGTTATAATATGAGAAATACTCAGCCAGTTATAGCATTGCTCAAGCCAAAGAGGTGTCAGCCTTCTGGCTAACATCTGGTTTGAATATAAGATGCATGAAATGCAACAATATGGTGATCTTTGGGCATGTCAGATTCTACATCTTAAATTATTTTTTACTTATGGTGATCCTTTTCAAAAATTCTCATGTCTTTATGGGATTTTTCTTCCTTTATTTTCTTACACATGTATATATGCTTGTTCTGTTGACAGTAAGCTTGCTTATTTCATAATGTATTGACTAGTTTGCCTCGTGATACCCTTCAAGTTATTCCACAGTAAAAAATGAGAACCTGGTTCAAATGGCAGTGGTAATTAAGGGGAAAGCAGTCACTTAGTTTACTGCTTCTTTGATTGTATAATGAAACCAAATTTTTAACTACTTGCTTCAACTCCAAAATTTGAATGACAGAATTACTTTGCAGAGCTGTGTGTTTTTCCTGTTAGATAAGTGTCTTTGTTTTTTTTCCTCTGGCATGTTTTTATTTTGTTGGCTTATTTTTGTGTTTGAGATTTTGCATAATATAATTAATAGTTTTGTAGGACATTGATTGGTGTAGTAATTATTGCAATGATGAAATTTAGATATTGAAATTATGATAAACAGAGATACAGAGAAGTTGATGGGAAAATAAAATTTAAATGAAGATTTCATACTTAGATAGCAGTTGACTGCATGTGTTAAGTCTTCATGCTCAAATATCACTGTGTAAGGCACCAAGATTTTGACAGAGAAGTCTTTGTGACCAACCAGCAGATGATAGGTAATATTTCCCTGGAAATGGAAGCTAGCGGACTACTTCTTGGCAATGCATGATGTGCTAACCGGATACAGAGAGCTAAGAGCAAAGTTTACAGCAAGACTGTATATTTTCCAGTGACAGGTAGTTTAATAGTCACAATGCTGCTATGCCTTATCTTCCTGTTCTCAATTTCTGTTTCTTTTCAATAATTTACTGCTAACAGCTCTTAGGAGACATACGGACTAAGGTATAGAAACTATTTTCCTTCTTCAATAGTTTAATATTTTGCTATTAACATGCTTGATACAAAGTAAGTTAAAATGACAGAATATGTGGGTTTAGACCTGTTTCTTACATTCTGTAACATATATAAAGTAATTAAATGAAATAACTAACTTTCAATGCAGTATTTATGTCACCCTGTAATACAACGTTACGGATTTTTACAAGTAAACTTTTACGTTGAATGGTTTCATCAAATGTATGTCTTCTCTGCATTTGCTTTGCTTTTACATTTGGAATACTATGCAAGACATTCTTTAACATTTTTATTAAATGTGTTTGACCTCTTGAACAGTTGGACCCATGTGTCACTGCAAGGAGCAGAGGTGACTGATTATTTGAAGTGTTGTTCTTTCTGCTGATTGTGGGTATGTATAATATCGCTTTGAAAATTAGTACTAACGTGGGATGTTTCTGTACAATAGAAGAAGCCAGTCCGAAGAAGATACGAGTCCTATGGGATGTACTCGGATGATGATGCCAACAGTGATGCATCAAGTGCCTGTTCAGAAAGGTCCTATAGCTCTAGGAATGGAAGCATACCAACCTACATGAGACAGACAGAAGATGTGGCTGAAGTCCTAAACCGCTGTGCCAGCACCAACTGGTCAGAGAGAAAAGAAGGCCTTCTAGGCCTGCAAAACTTACTAAAAAACCAGAGAACTTTAAGGTGAGATGAGATGTTAGCAGAAAAAAATCTTTATTTTACAGTTGAAGTGAGGCAAGAGAAGTAGGAAAGGAGGCTGATGTTCTAAAAAATACCGCAATATGGGGAGAGGGAAGGCAGAGTGGGTGTCTGTGAGAGTAAGATGGGAGAAGGAATGAGTGAAAACTATTGTCAATTTTGGCCACCATTGTATATGACCTGTTAAAAAAAACTCAGTTTAAGCAATGGAATTCAAAATCAGGAGAATTCTTGCAATACAAAAGATTCCTGAAATGTTGGCATCTAGTATTAATGGAAGGCCTTTATTTTTGTTGTTCTTTATTAGGAATTTATTCAGAAGAAACTGTTCACTACTAGCTACTAAGAATACCTTTCTCATTACTGCTATGTTAATATAGTTGGGAATTGTTTAATACATAAATTAAAGAGACATTTCTGTAATTCTAGAGAAAATAATTACATCTGAATCTCTATTTTTGAGCAAAATGCTTTTGTCAACTTTGTTTACTAGATTATTTGACACAATATTTACAGTTTATTTCAGTGATGCTATGCAGTAGTGTTCCAATAGTACTGGCAGGGGAGTTGACTAATGTATTGTTGTCACTTTGACAGTCGTGTTGAATTGAAAAGGTTATGTGAAATCTTCACCAGAATGTTTGCTGATCCTCACAGTAAGGTACGTTTAGGTTTTTCTTACTTGCAGTAAACATTTGAAAACATGTTAATAGAAAGCCAGTTTCTGTAAAACTGTTTTTACAGTTTTTGTGGAAGCTGGAATAAAACTTCATATATGCAGTAATTTCTCATAGCAAAAGGACTGTAGGTAAAAAAGTTTTCCTGCTGGAAAAAGGGACTTAGCTGCTCTCTGTGACATCATGAATTTTGAAAGAAACTTGCACACAGCAACATGGTGTTAAAGTTGCTCACTGTCCCATACTGCAGAAATCCAGAAGCGAAGTCTAAAAAGCCAAGAAATTAAAGAGAAACTGAAGAAAACATTCCAAAAAAACCACCAGTGATGTCAGAGGAGAGGAAAGAAAAATTGAATGTTGACATAATAGTGGTTTCTAAATGAATTAATGACAAAATTGTGAATAGCAGCTTTGTTTAATTTGGCTTGTTCCTGTGTCAATGAGTGTTGCAGCTATGCATATATCAGAACTCCCCTGGAGATTTTTTTCATTATGGGGGAGCCAGGGGAAGGATAATGAAAATGTCCCAAAATGTAGTTGTATATGTCAGAAGAGCTTTGTATCTTTTCATTAAACCTTTAGGAGTGTTACACTGAATAATTCTAGTTGATTGATTTGTTTTGTTTACTGGACATTCTGTCAATAATTCTAGTAGATTGATTTGTTTTGTTTACTGGACATTCTGTCAAAAAAATAATGTTGTTTTGATTTTAAAAATGTGGCCTGTTATAGCACATGTAGCTCACCTGTTCCAGTTGCTGAAGCCTTGCCTCCTTTTGGGTGTTGAAAAATTACTAATACTAATAGTAGTTATCAATATATTATCATGAGGAGCCTTTAAGTATAAAGGTTCATTAATTAATTTTTTATCACACATTCATGGCTACACAAATCTCATCTTAGACTCTTTTCAAGTGTGTTTAGGAATTATTCTGTCATCACTTTTTATTTAAGTTTACTTTAACACGATAGCTGGATATAGGGAATTGTTTAGAAAAAGTGAGTAATATCATTTGGTGGAGAAAATGGGAGAATGATTTAAAGGACATGCCAAATGCTTAGTTTTAAAATATATTGGATACCCCAATAGAATTACTAAATTTATCATAAAAGTTTTGAAAGACCTTTTTTTGTTTTATTTTGGTTTTATATTCCATACAGGAACTTTGTATTGACGGCCACTAATTTGTGTGTTTTATCTTTTTCCCTTTTTTGTTGTTTTGTTTTGTTTTTGTTTCATTTTGCATGCTGTCTCCTGTGTTGGAACTCTCTTTAGAGAGTAAGTTGGTTCAATATTTGTTGGAAGCCTAACCGTACTTGCATGGATGTGCAATTAACCCTTTTTCTCTATTTTTCTTCCCCAAAGAGTTCATGCAGTGTCAAGTCTTTTGCAATCATAAAATGCTATATACAATTATGTAAACTGTGTGGTAAAGTTTTG